TTTCAGCTGTGCTGGACCAAGGAGGGGAGCCACAAATTTGGTACAAGAGGTGAGGGCCTGCAGCTCAGACTGTCGGGAGTGTCCCATTGCTCAAGGCCCACCATACTGAGTTGAAGGAGCTTTGCATTCTCTCTCTGTCTCTGGAAACCCCTTTGAACTTTGGGGTGTTAGAAGGCTAGAAGCTGCCAAATGATATTGCCTGATCTGGAGAAGTTTCCAAGTGAATTTTATAGAAATGCCTGATAGATAAGACACAGGTAGAGAAGGAATTTCTTTTTGGAAAGGAGAGACACTCAATGTGCAATCAATCAAGTGGCACTGATTGATCTCAAACCAGTTCCTAAACTGGTAAATGCAAACTTAAAGGCAGAGCCCTGCAGAGTCTTCTGGTTGTGTTTTGCAGGTGACATAACCAAATTACCTGCAAAAAATTAAACAAAATATTGTTGGCTACAATATTTTTACACATCAGGAACGTAACAAATCAAGTGCTACCACCGTGTAGAGTTATAAAAAAGCTCACAAAGCTTATGCTAGGAACCTTGAAGTACAGGACAGCAGAGGCATTACTGATACCATTTGGAAAACAGGGAAGTGAGAGAAAAACTGAAAAAAAAAAAATTCAGGAAGTTCAGTATAATGGAACTGGGAAACAGAAATCTCTGGACATGCGTTACTTGCAATGCATCTGCTGGAAGTTTGGGAACTTCTCAAAATCAGGCCAAAGGTGTCTAAAGTTGGGCACTATTATAAATATATTAAAAATAAGGACGTTTTTGAAGATATAAAGTTTGTTTCAGAAGCCTAAGGCTTTGCAAAATTAAAATAGAACAGAAAATAGGTCCTGGAAATCTTTAATCCCCAGGTGCTATTGTAGCAGTAGGTCAATTTTGGATTACTGTACAAGAAGGAAAGGCAAAGATCACTGTAAGCCTTAAGAAAGGGTCATCAAAGCAAAGAAGAAAAAAATTTTAAGGAGATTAAATATCTGATTAAAATAACTAATAGAGCCTAGAAAAATATAAGTTTGTGAGCACATAAGTTCACTGAAATTTAAAATTTTTTTGTGATAAGGAATGTACTGACTACTAAATTCTCGTGGCTGTGGTTCCAGGCTCAAAGCTGTGCCTAAGAACATAGATCTAGAAATACAATGACAAGTATTCCTGTTTTGCCCTTGCTGGCCCCAGCAAGAAATCAAGATGTACCTCCACAGTATCTACATGAACAAAGAAGCTACTTTACAATGTTCTTCTGTCTCTTCAAACTTCATTGGTTCCTTTTCTGGAAAAAGCACTCCATCACCTTTTTTCAATCCTGAGAGGCAGCTAGGGGAAAAAAAACCACACAAGGAAAGAAATGGGAATAGAGGAGCACTCTGTGTATGTGTGTTGTACACACCATCAGAAGGGTGTAGTGTTTGGTTAATGTGTGTGGTTAAGAGGGACATACATATTTCAGAGTACAGAAACTGCAGTTAGAGGGGTGCATGAGAAAATCTCCATAATGCTGGTTTCTTTCTGTATAATCTTGCTTTCTATTCATCATATTTGCTATGCAAAAATTTAGTGCATTCAGGGTCAGTGAGCAGCTGAAGTACCTTGAAAGAAAAGTCTAACCTCTCCTAATCATGTGTGCTTCCTGTAACCACTCCGTCAGCCCTCTGATTTATGATTCCCACACTGCCCCTGTGATTAAAAGCATGACGGTTTGTTTGCATTTCTACTTAGGCTGATTATTTTTTTGCCCTTCCTCCACCTTCAGACAAGACGCTGCAGATGACAGGTCTGAGGGTCCAACAGCACGAGCAGGATGCTGCCCTGCAGCACTGCTGCCCTCAGGGCCATCACCCAGAGAACACACTGTGTCTGCTGACAGCTTCAGCACTGGCCACTGGGTTTTACTCTAACTACCAACGAGCTGGTTTCAATTTCTTCTCTGTTTAGACTTGAAAACCTGAAGTTTCCAGGAATACCAATTAGACTAAATGAGAAGACATTTTTCAATTCAGGTCCCTGTAAAGCCTAACCTGAGAAGCGCCGTGGGTTTTGCCTGACTGACAAAGCAGCTGCTGGGTACTTTTGAAAACACTGCCTCCCAGTCATGCTGGCAACTCCTCACTGGTCAGGCAGGTACTGAATAGCACAGTGGTAGACAAGGAGAAATTACAGTTTAATAGTAATGAGGTCCAATGATACTTGCAAAGGAGAATACCCACAGCAACAACAGGCAGGTTCAACCAGAAAAATAATATCCATGTTATGTCAGAGACATGACTAGTGCAGAAATTAAGAGGCATCCCAACAAGTAAGCAACACACTGAATTTGCTGCTCTGAAAATACAAGACAGGGAGCCAGATGTCATGACCAAGATCAGCATCTTAGTTCACTATGGCACAGCTATCGAGGATGCACCACACGTCTGGGAGGCTAAAAGAACGTGGAAAAGTGGCTCCTGGCTGGTTGCTACTCTGTCATGATCTCTGTAGCTCCATGAGTGTGCAAATGTTAGTGCACAGATGGAAAAGACCATTGTTTCCACACAGGAAGCCAATGGATACACAAATGAATAATGCACTCCCCCAAGGCAGAGTGTGCTCTCCAGACAGGGAGCTTGCAGGTCCAGGATGAGTAAATTAGCTCATGTATGGTTAGTGCCAACAGCCATTAAAAATATCTGTAAGGCTATAAAGACACTTGTGTGTACAAAGGGCACCCATTTTTGGAGAGCCAAAAAGAAATTACCATGAATGAAAAATTAATATAAGTCTGACCAAGTCTTGGCAAACTTTTATAATGCTGAGCAATACAGTAAAAATGCGTATTTTCTTGTTCGGGCATGTCTACAAACTGGCTTAATACCATCTGCTGAAGGTAACAAGAAAAACAACACACCAGTAGGGTTTTGTTAAGAATTTGACTAAACCAACTAAGGTATCCTCTCTTTTGTCATCTCTGCAATCACAGAAGTCTTCCTTTCTTTAGAAAAGTAGCTGTCAGTATTAATAACTCTGCAAAGCAGTGTTTGAGTAAGAAGTCTCAGCCATTTTTACTGTGCTCCATCAACCTCGTCCCATCCAGTTTTGCTTTTCATCTCCCCCCTGAAAACAACAGAGACACTACACAGAATTTTCCCTTCTTTTCACATAGCTTTTGTTTAAAACCAAAATTGACAACAATCCTTTTTTAATGTCATGACGTGACAAAACAACGATACATCTCCTCCCATGACCATTGTTTTTCCTCTCCAACAACTGGATTATTACTGGGTGGCACATCAAATGCTAGAAAAACATACACGTACAACATGGTTAGTATCTGCCAGGTTCCATGATGTTATTTCCCTTGCATTAAAAGAATATGATTAACTTGAGCTTGTACTGCCTCAGTAGTTTTTTTTCTGCAGTCACAGAATTCCTACGTATTTATATCTCATGGCATTTCATGAACTTGTGAAATCTTCTGTGTTTCTTTCTGAAGCAGAAAACAGTAATTTCAGCAGAAATACGAATTTCATTATGTTTGACTGACAAGCTCAGGCCACATAACTGACTTAACATACACAAGGCGTGCTCCCTTTTCTTTTGATTTATGAGTCTGCACTAGAGTTACTTTTTTCTGCAGGAACAGAAGCAGAGTATGTTTCTATAGCTATATCTCTATTTCGCCCTCACTACTTTTAATCTGTAACCTTTATATAGAACATCTGTTGCTGCAAGAGTAACTGAAAGTTCCAGTGAGTGTGCAGTAGTAACAGCCCTCATGGCAGTCTAATACCATTACCAAAAATCCAACCTTCACAGGCAGGATTTTTGACCAACACCAACACCTCTGGAAATGTACTGACAATTGCAGTAACATCATTTTCCATATTGACTTGCCACTAAATCATATTATCTCTTACATTTCATTTCAAAGGAACTGCCAGAAAGAAAAGATCATGCTGTGTTTTTCAGTTGTTTGTACATTATTTCAACTATGTACCTTTTACTGGGTGATTTAATTTTAGGCCTCCTTTTTCATTAAAGAATCCACATCCAATACAGAGAAAAACAAGGCTCTATCCCCAATTTAGTTCTAACCCCAAATATCTTACCACTTACTTCTGCTCATAGACACAAAGTGATTTAACGTCCACTAAAAAAAAAATCACTTGAAAAACGTAAAAATTTAACTATGAGTGGAGCAATAACCTACAGTAGAATCCCTTTAAAACACCCACCCCAACAGCAGTGATTATATCACACAGCTTTCCATGCAAACAGCGGCTGTCAAAGGAAGCTGACACAACAGCCGAGGACTGAAGGGTCAGAAAAACCAAACATGAAATTTCCACTTCCTCTACACACAGATTCAGCACGGAAAAGGACACAGTCAACAAAATAACAAGCTCTGGCTCCCTTCTGCTGTGATGAAATAAAACAGACCTCCAAAGACCTCATCTCATCCTGCTTCTCTGCCTTCTCCCTGCTCATCTGAGGTGACACCAGGCATGTCTGAGTACAGCCCTCGGACACACAATTGCTAATGTAAGCCAAGTAAACCTGCAGACGTCACATTTTCAACATATTAGCACAAACATACTTGTGAGATTGGTTAAATGCTTCTGATTTTTCATATACCAACCTGAAAATCCAACAAACAGTCACTGCCAATGTTTCACAGATGTGAACAATAGGTTTTGTACCTCTGGGATGAGGAAACATGATGGCAGTTGTAAAGGGTTTACTATACAACACTGAACTGGTTTATTAAGATAATAAGTTGTTTTTCCTTTCACTGTTCAACTAAAACAAACAAATTGAATCACTGAGCCTTTCCCTCCCAATGCAGCTGTATGGCACACTCACATTTTGCAGTTTTTTTAGGTAGTGAATCAGTGGGGAATAAAGAATGTCTCCCTTCCTTTTCTTCTCTCACTTCAGAGTTCCTCCTCACCCCCCTTAGTAATAACCATGGATAAAACTGTTCTCACCATATCTGCGCACACACACACACACACACACACTTCATTTCTTTACAAAGTTTTGCTCTGGAGTTACTGGGTGACTTCTCTTCAGTGCCAGGAGTTCCCCAGTGCCCACTGGCACAGAGGGGTGATGAGGCCGAAGCAGCTGCTACGACAGATGAAGATGTACCAACTTTTGATTATGAGCTGCAAGGCACCCGCTTCCAATGATTCCATTTTCTCTGCCAGCCCTTTTCTTTTGACATCCTCCCACTTCTTACCCCAACTCTTTTATATTTAATTCTTGAAACTCTTCTTCCAAAACGAGGACAGCCATAGCTCACAGTCTGTACCCTCTGCCTTACACTGACTGTTGCTGAACTGCAAGAATCCACCCAGAACACAGATCTTTAAAAACCCTTTCCACAGTGTCAAGCATAGAAGACTTTCATAGGACATATAAGGCCAAGATCACTGAAACGCACAGTTTCATTTTAAAGGACTTTTCCCTCTCCTAGCAGCTCATGTATCTGTCCAGACAATAAAATTAAGCAGAACAGAGTTGCCTTTGCAGATCTGCCAGTGACTCAGTTACAGCTCAACCACTTTCTGTAAAAGTGAAATCAGTGACCTAATTAAAAAGCAGAAATAATGCCTACCTCTTCTCCCCATCCTCCCCACAGCAGTCTGGGAACTCAAACAGAAAAGCTAGCAAGCACTTTTCTCCTTGATGTACTTGCTATAGAAAATCAAATGACTTAAGAACAAAGGCCTGTAGGGAAGATGCAGCAGGCAAGTAGAATCACCTGTGACTTATTTATACTGTCATTTCACAGATGAGCTCCCAATCTTTGCTATTAGCATTACTCACTGCACCTGTCAAAAACCTCAGGGGTTAACCAGGGCTTGATTGGAATAGGGAAGACACTGGTCCGGTTCCTTTCTGAGTATTTTACATAAAAATAAGTGGTATTTTACACTTTCATATGTAAAATTGATTGACAAAAGATACCAGACAATAAGAAATGGCGACTTCAGATAGCAAAAAGGAAAAGGAAATTAAAGCAAGGAAAAGAAAAAAAAAAAAAAAAGACTGATGTATCCGGAATTTTCAATTATTAAGAGCTTGGCCCTCCGAGATTATTCAGCAGCTCTTTCAAGGCAGGAAAAAACACAAGCTTACTGTGATTTTGGTGGCATAAGTCCAAGCCTACTCTCAGTAGTATTCCTGCCTAAAAACATATCATAAGTTAAAGAGCATATTTTATGATATTCTATGAATAGCAAGGAAAATGCAGAAAAAAAATACAAATTAAATTGTTCCTTGCAACTCACTACTAATGCATCTGCTTCCAAATTGCAAGAAATCAAGAATGCCACAGAAAAGTAAGAACATGACGAGTTTCAGAGAATTTTAACCCAGTTTCCAATTATTAACTTGAAAAAAATACCCAGTAAGCAATAGCCCCTCTTGTGCCTCTTTTCAAGAAATTGTCACTTTATTGCCATTACAAAAGTGTACTTCTTAGCTCTACCAATTTGTTTTTCCACATTAGATTTGTGTACTTTTTAAGAAAGCAAGATGAATCACATTAATTTTTAATATTACATGCAAAGCTCAAAAGAGACAGGTCCAAACCTAATCTCTATAAGATTAAACATCTGTCTGAGCCTCTGTCATTACTGTTCTCTATGATACCTTGTTTGCTGTATCACACAACAAAAAGATTATTTTAAACTCACTGACCAATCCATAAACTGTTGTAAACTCTTGGAGCCACCAGGTAGGAAATACAGTTACTTTCATTTTGGTCACCACCACCTTGTTTTGATAGCTGGAGAAAGGAAGAATTTTTAATAAACTGTTGGAGGCAAAGGCACTGTTTAAAAGGTTTTCACTGACACAGGCTTGGAAAAAACTTGCTCCAGACAGACAAACAGCAGCTTCTGCCTATAAATAGTACGAAAAACTCCCCACTAGACCATATAGAAGGTGACAACAGGCACAGGAGAAAATTTAATATTGTCTTACAGAGCAGCTTTACCACTCTCAATGGAACCCCACCAAAGCACTCAGGGTTTAGAGCAGCTCCTGTATAGTCTGATCAAACTCTGAATTAGGCTTCCTGCTTCCATTATCTACAGGAGGGAACATGTAGATGTTTCAGCTCATTTCCTACTCTGCATATAATCACTCATTTGGTTATCGAACTATTAGCCAAGGGTGATATGATAATTCTGTTCCACTGACAACAAACGAGCAGATTACCTTGAAACCAAGACACAGCTGCAGGCACCAAGTGCTGCTGGCTCCATTAGCAAAGCTTTTCCTCCTGGTCCCTCTCTGCTTGTTTCAGGACCTCTGGTCTTTTGCAAGGGAAAAGGGAACAACCCTAGCACACTGTGAAGGATGAGGAAGCTGTTTGTTTCGCATGTAAACACAATTTTATATGTTATATATATGCATAGCATATAATGTGCCTATTTTTCTTTTTATGACTTAGAAATAAAAATAAATGTAGTAGATTTTTACGGTGTACTTGCACTGATCATTGGATGCCATAAAATATTTTGTTAGGCACAGCTTTGGAAAAAATCAGGAACTGAGCAGGTGCCAGCTGTGCAGCTCCATGGTGCCAGGCAGTCACACTCCTTAGTGCCTCCTAAACCACAGGGGCAGAAAAGGATGGCAACTCCACCAAACGGACACTGGGACCAGTGGAACTTAGTGTTGTCAGGTGTCCTAGAACTGTTAACTCCTTTTATATCAACTTCTATTCTCTCCTTCTTTGCAGCAAGGTTACACCATTGGTTTCAGCTAAAACATACCCAGTTCGGGTCAGCTAAAGGCGAAGCTGAATCAAACCCCCCCTAAACACTCACGTCTCAGGGAAGTCCAAGCAGACACAGGACCCATGCCAAATGGTTTGCAAACCTCACAAACATGCTCTACTATATCTTATTAAAATAAGTTCCAAGAAGGAACTCTCCAGTTGCCAGTGCTGCTTGGCAGCCTGCACAAAATAAAAGTTATTTCCAAAGCAAGTATCAAAATACAGGTATTGAAATAGTATGAAAAAGCAGGAGTAACATTATTCTTCCTGGTGCTGGAGCAATGTCCCTCAAGAGCCTTGTAGAATGACATTTTTTGAAAGTGAAGTTACAACCAGTAGCAAGAGAAATGTTTGAAAGGAAAGCAGCACTGAAAAATGAAATCATGTAATACAGTTAAGGAGAGAAACAACCTTCAAGAAAAGACAAGGAGCAATACTCAATCCCCAACTGCCAGGTTACCTGCAGAAAAGATACCAATGCACCTTGGAAGGAATTCCATGTGTGATTTAGCCTGGTAGGTGTATCTGTAGTGTTTACATGTAAGGTTCAAATGGCCCTTACTCAAATTCAGTCCCAGGTCTGCATTTCTTGGTAATGGCTGAGCAACAACAGTTATAAATGCTTATAACTGAGAGTAGTCAGGACCACACTCAAAGTTACGAGATTCCTGCCAGTTTAGTTTGAGGTGCCTTTGAAGCAGTTCGTGCCCTTGGTTCCGAAAGGACAACCAGCAGAGTTCAGCAGAAGCATGAGAGTGTTACCACGGTGCTGGTGATGCCTTCTGTACATAGTCTGAACTGGTCATAGAGGAGAGCAGGTGGAAAAGCTTCAGAACAGCCTGAATCATCACTTGTGCATCTGTACAGATAAACGGACTCATACAGTGGATGCTACAATCAATGTTGCAAATGCTTAATTTCAGGGACAAATCCCTGTGGAAAAGGCAGTGTGCTGCATGCCAAAGTAGACCGTGCTGGAGTTGCAAATGTTGCTCTATTTAGTTTCCATCTCCGTGCTCCCATTCAGCAAACACCATTCTCTTGAAACATCAGTGTGCAGGGCGAGAGGCAACCATTGGCAAACCCTAGGGATACACTGTCACCACGGGATGGAAGTTCAAACACCTTGCCCGAGTCCCTTGCCAACGTACTTAAATTGTGCCATTATAGTCTTTGGACAAGGTTTCTAATAAAGCATTTCCTGCCCCATTTCCTGCCAAAATCCAGAAATGCAGGTCAACATTCTGCAGTAAGTCATATGTGCTTTGTGGCACAGCATAAAACTTTTTATTCTCTTTTTTTTTTCCTCCAGTAATGCTGCTGCTTAAGGCAAGTGTTTAGCACTGGAATGACATAAGCATCTCCAACATCTGTTCTCTGAAGGAGGGGAAAATGAAACGAAAGAATAAACCATGTTCTTGTACTCCACCCCTTTAAATTTCTCAGGTAAACTAAAAAAAGCAGGAATCCTTCTCGCTACTGAGACCATCACTATCTCTTCTTTTACTTAAAAATCCAACAAACAGAAAACCAAACTCCTAAAATCTGAAAGACATCTTTGTTGTTTCTTGCTGAGGATTGATTGCACAGGTAAATAGGTGTAAGAGCTGCTGAACCTGATCAAGCTAAACCTTATGCCTGTGTACCATAAAATCACAGGGCTGAAAAGCTTAGAAATTGGGCAGCAGCCCGCTCATGTACAGCAATTCACATAAAGATCAACCAGTGACAAGAAGGTTTTCCCTCAAAGCCACTGATCCAAACCTTTTTCAGTACCTCTGGCATGTGTGTGGTGCCTGACAAAGCTTCCCACAATCTAAACCTCCAACATCTCTCTGTCCTTGGAAACAGGAAGTTGGATGTGGACTAGTCCAACCCAGGAAACAACCTGTCTGAGACTGCACCCTACAAATTAACTGAATAAGTGTGCATCCTCACTGAAGCCATGCAAAATTAAGCCAGAAAAAAAGCCTGAAGGCAGATGGAGATTCTGAGACAACAAACTAAGGTACCTTCCAGTGTGCTCTTTCTGCCTTCCTTTTCTACCAGGATGCAATTGGGTGCAGAACATAAACCCACAGAATTGTCCCACAAGGCCAGACAAAGGTTAACGGCACCAGAGCCTCTGTCCTGTTGCCAGTGAAACCAACTGTGCTGAGTGATAAGTCTGCAGGGACAGCCCAACCCCTTCTGCTGTCAGACACGAGTCCTCTTTGTCCACTCCAGATTAGATCAATACTACAACAGCTCTTCAGGGAGACACCTTATCCCTGGCAGCTGGATGAGCCCCATTCCAGCTCTGAGCTCTCCCACTGCC